TGATAACAGGTGATTCTGAGATCAGAAAGGAGGTTCAGAAAGTATTTATTGCTGTTAATATAGGATAAATTATACAATTTAATTATTATGTAATATGTTCAGTAATGTTAACATTTGATACTGATTCAACAGCAAAAATAGCAATGATAATATCAGATAATAAAATAATTAACATTCATCAAGTATTTATTACATATATACTGTTTTAAACATTTGCATTCATTATTCATCTTTACCACAGCCTTACTCCTTAAAAGTTAAATAATGTGCTTCTTGTAACTCAGTAATAATGGATGAAGCTAGAAATTAGGATTTGAACCCAAACACAGTGCCTCGAAAGCCTGCACTGTCCAGTTACCTGTGGGAGCTCTAGGGATAAAATTGCATTTGAATCCTTTACCTTCATTTTACGCAGATCAGTGAAACATCTTTAAAGGATCTGAGATGAAGTTTCATCATTACTACTGCTGTCTTCAGATTCTTGACACTTCCTTTCTCATTATTCTTGTTTCTTCCTTCATTTTACTCCCACCTTGTTTACATTCATAACATTTAGCACTATCGAGCTGTGAAACCTTTGTCTAGGGCCTTCAGTTCCGTGGCAGCGGCGTGCTCCATGAATCTTCTAACAAATCTCTAAGTCTGATTATCCGGGAGTTGGTTTGTTTCAGTTATTGAATTGACGACGTGGGCATGCCGCAGGATTTGCTTGTATTAAGTACGTACCTGCACGTTTATATTAAGGCTGCTGATGTACTGTGAAATGGAGAAGCTTTCACTTGAGTTATTTAAGAAGTGGCGCTTTGTTTCTGCATTCAATCTAGAAAAACATTTTAGAAATGAAAAATAAATGCTTGGAATAAGTTAGGAGGGCAGTCTGTGTTCTTACATGGAGAGAGGAAGCACTAAATGATGGGCAGTACTAAATGGTACATTTTTTTTTCCTGACTGCTTGAAGAATTTTATTTGTGAATAAAACATATTACAGTGGAGAAAGGTTGCGGACCTGCCCTCCCAAGGCTGTGTCTGTATATGGAACTCAACTTCACGTTGTAATACAAAGAGTCAAAGTGAAGTGCAAAAATGAAATTAAAGTCATTGCGTATGTGGTCACCGGAAGAGAGAAAAGGAAGAACCTGGGGTTAACTGAAGTACAGGGTGAAGGGGGTCTTGACAACAGAGCGATACGTAAGGAAAGTGACTTGCGCGCCAGTAAGCTCGAAGCAGAGGTCCGTGCCATGCAGCCAGAAGGAGTTTCAAGAGTGGGGTTCGTGGTGGGGGTTCTTCGCTTCTTGGCTTTGGACTCTGATTCACTGACGGTATTTTATGTCACATGTTGATGTTATAAAGTGAAGTATTCCTAAGGCATCTCAGAGTTCATGAGTCATACCTCAGTTGTTTTGTTGTCTTGACGCCCGATGTAGTTTAGATTAAGAAAGGCAAAATGAAAAAAAGCCGAAGAAAATTTTAAAATTCATAATGCTGTGTAGTGGTTTGACCTGAAAAAAATGTGAAGTTACAGGAAACATGCTTCCCCTGCCCACCCCCATCCTGCATGTTTTGCTAGGATTGTATGCATAACTTTGTATTTATGCAGGGGGTTTGTTGTTAACTTTGTGACTGCCTTCCGGACCAGGTTGAGCTCTGACTAGGTCACCCTTGACCTCCCCTATCCCAGAACAAGCGATTTCTAATTTTTAAATCTTTTCTGATTTCAGGCTTTGACGAAGTTCTTGAAGTGTGTTAACTGGGATCTACCGCAGGAGGCCAAACAGGCATTGGAGCTGCTGGGAAAGTGGAAGCCAATGGATGTGGAGGACTCCTTGGAGCTGCTGTCTTCCCATTACACCAATCCCACAGTGAGGCGGTATGCAGTTGCCAGGTTACGACAGGCGGATGATGAGGTGCAGTATTTATTCATTCAGCTAGGGACATTTTAAACTAGAGCCTGATTGTAGACTGTGTGTATGTGTGTGTGTGTGAGAGAGAGAGAGAGATTTTTAGAAGGGAAGAGGATATACTATGTGTGTTTTCAGAAGTAAAATTAAAATATTCCTCCAAGGACTTCTCTGTGAAATGAAAATTTACTTCCCGACCTGTTACGTGATAGGACAGTGTCTCCCAGGACATTTTCCTGGCAGCAGGGCTGGTCTTGCTCTGTCTGGAAAAAGGAATCCTAATGAAAAATGGTTTAATGCAGTACCAGCTAGGGAATAATTCAGATCCCCTCTATCAGTCAGTCTACAACAAGCCACATTTAATGGTGGCCTTGAAAAGCCCTTGGGGCCTTTAAAGCTTTGAGATGCACAGTCATCTCAGTCTCCTTCAAACTCCTTCTTTAAACTTAAGCTGCTGACAATGATGTGTATATGTAGATTTTCTGAAGGTGGTTTTGAATCCTCTGGAAGGCAAAGACTGCAAACTTATGCTGGCTATTTATACACACGTAAGGCCACCGGGGAAGGGGGAACACTCAGTGTTGACACAGAGCATTGCTGGATATTGAGTTTTAGTAATTCCTAATAAGGTAGACTAATCTAGTAATTTTTTTTGACTTATTAATTTTTATAGGGAGAATGTGTTCTCAAACGTGACCCAATAGCTGATGCTAACCTGCAGGGCCTGTGGGGTACAGGGTAACTCTTCTCAAGCCTCGGTTTATAATGGAGTGCTGATCCCAAAGAACAATTATTATCAAAGACCTTTTTTAAAAAAATCATTTTGAATTCATAGTGGTGTCTGAATTTCAAGAAGCAAAACACAGCATTTATTAAGGTGGATAGTTGTATATGTATTTAATCATCGTAAAATTTAAACACTGAAATGGATAATATAGTATATTCTTATATATAATTCCCTCATGTTCAGCAGTTGCCAACTCACAGCCAATTTTGCTCCATCTTTAACCCCAGTTGTTCTCTCCTCCCCATGCCCGACCTGCTACTAGATTATTTTGAGGCAAATCTCAGATATTTTGAGGATGGGATGTTTTTCACTCTTCTGTCAAATAGTAATTCTTAGCATCGTGATTCAGCATGGTATCCTCTCCTTCATTGTCTTTACTGTATCACAAGTGAAAAAAAATTATTACAATATTTATTTGAAATAATGAAATATTTATTTTGAAATTCACTAGAAATCTCACTGAAGTCATTAAGTTTCCATCTGTGTTTGTCGTGAGTCAGAGTTTAGATAAAAGCCTCTGGGCTGTAGTCAGGACAGCCCCTCAGCGTGAGTTCAGAAACAAAAATTGTAAGTCATCATTTTTGATGCTTCGCTTGCAAGCTTAGAGGCTAAGCATTTGACTGTCTCTGGAGTTAACAGTATTCATGCAAGTACTGACCTGTTTCTGTTGTTCTGAGGTGGAGGATAATGATAGGAATACGGCATGTATCCTAAGCTGCAAAATATGGTGGTTAGATTTTTTTTTTTTGTAAGGTTTTAGAGATACAGCATAAACAGCATAGTAGTTACATCATCTATGGATTTCCCTTCCTCTGAATTTAGCTCAGTAAGAAGAAAAAACTATGTGGGGCAAAGTTTTGAAAACTACTCATACACGTAAGCAGAAGATTGTACATTTCCATTATGTAAATTTCATATGAAGATCATTCATGTTGTACCATTCGTTTCTAAGTGGTTTAAAATGTCCCCTTGCTGTTGCTTCATCTGTGGAGTACTGTATTTATGGTGTTACAAACTTCATGTGATTTTCTTTTTGGTATTGCAAGGGATGATGTAATTGTAGACTATATATAATAATATATATTATAATCATAGCGTGAAAATATACGTCAGAGATCCTTTTGTCTAAGTATCCACATCTTGAGCGGCTGGAAAACTTGAATGAAAAATACTGTGTTTTATATTTGCACAGTCTGATTTTTCCAATATATCATAGTCTCTCCAGTAGCCTTGCCTTTGTCACTTCATCGTCCCAGAGGCGTCTTCCTCCTGTCCCCCCTGTGAGCTGTAGCACAGACCTCACCATCTCTGGGAAACCTCTCTTAACCATCCCTGGAAGCAAGTCGTATTTTTGTTTCTTTCATCTTTTTTTTTTTTTTTTCCTGATTTGCTTTGCTTTTAAATAGTAACAACATCACTCCTCCAACTGTTTTTTATCCCCAGAAAGGTAGCCACTCATATCTCTCTTCATGTATTCTCTATGCAAATTGCAAGCATACATAATGCAGGTACAGTGTATATATACCCCTTTTTAAAAATTAACATAAAGAGGAATATCCCATATTGTTAAAAACTTGCCTTATTAATAACTGAACAGTATAATCTTAGACATTTTCTCATCCCCGCAGCACATACATTTTGCGTCCGTAAAACCTGGAATTATAGGCAAATGAATATCAAGGCCAAGGATGCTAAATGTACTTTTAATCTATAGAAAAACACTGTGTTTTTAGACTTTATGGACGCCTGTAGATCTACCTTATTCTTTTTAAACAGCAGCATAGTATTTTACTACAAGTTTATTTTATAATTTATTTAACCAGTTACCCTCTCCTGATACTCGGTTGTATTATTTGTGATCTTTTCTGTAACTGTATTTTAGTGAACAGACTTGTGTATATATATTTTTCTGTGTTCTTGAATAAGTAGCTTTCACTGGAATTATTAAATCCAACAATATATGGCTTTTACATTTTGCTGATAACCCTCTATCAATCTTCTCTTTTTATGCTTTTATCATACTGTTAAAAAATTGCAGTTGCTTTATAACACTAGAAACATGATTGAATAAATACCCTCTTTCTTCTTTTTAAACAATTTTAAAAATAATTTTTGTACATTTATTCTTCCCAAGAATTTTAGAATAATTTTATCATTTTCTTAAAACTCCACCCAAATACTAAGTGAGATTGCATTAAATGTATATATTACATTAGAGAAAAATTCATGTCTTTATATTAAATCTTCCCTCCTGGACATACATGATTTTTTTTTTATTCAAGTCACAATTTTATATTATCACATTTTTAAAAGTGTATTTATTCTGTAACAGTTGTTAGTATTATGAACTGCCTCACCCCTTTTATCTCTTTCTCTCAGTTAAATGGAAAACTATGTTTTTATTTTAATCTTATGCTTTATCTAGTTACTTTAGTGATTTCTCTTAATAACTTTAATAGATGTGAGATTGGTCCCTGTATAGCATCATGCAATCTGGAAAACATCCCTGTATAATATATACTATATATGAAATATATGCTGAATTTCTAATGCTGTGCCAGCCATACGTTTGTAAAGTAAATCCTGTTCAGTGTTTTAATACCTTTCTGAATTTGATTTTTTTAATGTTCTGTTTAGGAATTTTTAAAACCGTATTCCTTACTGCTGTGTGGTTCAAAAGGAGAGATTCCTCATTAGAATTTGAGGAAGATGTAGTATTTGGGATGGACATTGAAGGAAGAGTAGAGTTTTCAGAGCTGGACATGAGTTTACAGGCCAAGTAGAGAAAGCAATATGAGCAAAAGCAAGGAGATTGAAAAGTCCAGGAAAAACAGAAAGCATGTCACTTAACAGAAGTGTGAGATGTATGTACTCATGTCTCTATAACAGTAAATGCCTACTTGAAGGGTTACTCTTAATTCAGTAAGAAATGGGAGTGATTTTTGACGTGGAACTTTGCATTTGTATTCTGAAGCATTAGAATTAACTTGTTCTTGAGAAAAATAGTGATTACTGCCTACATAGTATTTCATAGCTCTTGGAATTACCGAATTGCCTGAGAAAGAAATGTCATTTTTTTTGTTTGTTTTGTTTTACTTGATACTTATGTCCTTTATGCTTGGAGGAATTTTATATTTCTCAAGATGTGACTATCTAATGAGCAAACAGACTTTATACTTACTTAATTCATTTTCATACAAATGAAGCAAAGTGTAGTTTGAATATGGAGTAGCCAACACAATCAGATGGCTATGAGTGATTTAAAAACAGTAGTTTTCTTCTGAATTTTCTCCTTCCTGGGAAATTTAATAACAGTGTAGCCTTTTTGATTGCATGTGGTAATAAGTCTTTTCTTTAACTGGGAAAACACGCCAGGTGATACATTCAGGAGCGTTTTCGAAGCATACCTGTTAGTGAAAGCTAGCAGTGAAACTGACTTGTAACACCTCCTAAGAAGGATACTTGTGATTAAATATGTTAGTCAATTGTTTTATGTGATTTGCTATTTTTTTTTTTAGAAAAAGCATGTACGTAGACTTGTAGCTATCAGATGCCATAAATCTCAAATAAAATTATAGAAAACCAAATGTCTGTTGCTCCAATTAAAAATTTCTTTTTAAAAACAGGACACTTTGGAAGTGCTTTGATATAGAGTCATTTGATTTCCCTGGCCACTGATATTGATCTATTTGATTAAGAATTCATAAGCCATTTAACCTTTCATTTAATGTTTCTGTGAAAAAATCATATTTAGTGATAAGATCATGTGTGTTGCTTTTAGTCAGTATTTGGGCAGTTATAAAAAATACTGACTGTGTCAATGTAAGAAAAATTATGGAAAGTATATATTTGT